GCATTCCCTTCAAAAACAAACGTAATCCACTAAGTCTATAGCAGCTCAGATGTCGGGAATAAATGACGACTGCTATGTTCATTATTACATCCAACAACAGAACACCTCAATCGCTTAGGAGTCTGCTCTGGCAGTGAAACAATGGCAGACTGATGACAGCTCACTCAGGGCGGGTCTAAGGTAAGACGCCAGTCCAGTCTGTCCTGAAACGCTACTGTCTATCAAACTATCGTGAAAGGGGCCTGTTCTTGTGAAGTCACACAGACAGGCATCTGAGATTGGCTCGATTTGAGAAAGAGGTAAAGATTTTAGTAGATAAAAAAAAAACACTGGATGGATTTTTATCATTATAGGGTGGTTGTGTACACACACTGCCAACACACATTTCAGTTCAAACATCTTGTAAAAGTGCATGTAGCATCCTATGACCCCTTTAAGACCCCGCTCTAGCACCTCTCGGATACATGCCAAGTTGTAGTCACCTTATCACTGGGTGATGACAGACTTTAGTAAAGGAGCACTTGTTTTTTTTTTTTTGTTTGTTTCTTGATTTATTTACTCTATGTAACAAATCACCTGAAGTGTATAGGTTGCAAACTGTATCTTGCAGCCAGTGGGCTCTGAATATAATTCTCACAACACTCAACCTCTGCCCCGTTTCCAAGGTGACACAGAGTTTCTGTGTATCACAGCCATACAGTTTTTAATAATGTTGTAATGCCCCAGGTCTCTGTCTCTCTCTCTCTCTCTCTCTCTCTTTCTTTCTCTCGTGAGGCTTCTTAACTCGATATACCCATTTGACTTTGCTTGTCATGTAGTTTCACACTGCCAGTCAAAGTTTGGACGTCCTTGACTGAATTTCTGATCTTAAAGAACCCAAAAAAATCCATATATTTTAGGCTGGAGGTCATCTAGGGGCTTATATACTCCTAAACGGTGACAAAATGCACTTCAGGAACAAACATACCAATAATACACACTACACAGATTTTCATCCAATCAATTTCCCATCAAGCAATTTCATTGATATATACTTTAGTATATAAAATAAAGCACTGTTCTATACAGTTGCCACAGTTCTAACACTCTTGTATCTTTATGTCACAGACAGTGTGGACTTCGACCTCCTACAAATCCTCTTGAGGTAGTTTCTTCTGGTAACATCATGCTCGTCAACCTAATCACAGATAAGGTCCGGAGACTTGGATTCAAAGCGGTTTACACTGTCATTCCCGCTATTGCTGGTAACGTCAGTGATTTGTTTTGTACAAATGCTTTAGTATTTTATAAAGTCATCATCCAAGTCAAAAGTCTTTGTAGCTATGAAACTTGAAAAACAAATGTTGAATTGGTCTAGAAAGTATTCCATTTCAGTTTCATAATATCTGTTTTCTGTTCATTTCCCCCCTCCATATTAATTTCTAGCTGGGAGCTGTGGAGCATCTCTGAATACGCCCACTGGAAACTTCACCTCTCCTCATTTTCCTAGTTTCTATCCTCCTTTGATCGACTGCAACTGGAACATCAGTGTAAGCCTCACGTGACCATTTGACTTTTCTTTGTTTACCAACAGAGAGAACTCGTGTTTTGAAATTAAAGGAATATTTCAGTATCTCTTCATTTGTTGAACTATCCATTCTTCATATTTTGAAATATGGTCTTTCTTTTATTATTTTCTTTCTACAGTGAAACACAAAAGCAGATGTTAGGCAAAAAATCATTTTTAAATGAATACATTTTTTCAGTAAGGTTGCCTAAAATTTAACAAAAGTGAGAGTAAAGACATTATATATATATAAAAAAAAAAAAAATCATGTTAACACAGTTCTTTTGAATTTTCTGTTAATCAAAGAATCCTGGAAAAATGTATCACAGTTTCCACAAAAATATTAAGCAGAACAACTGTTTTCAACATTAATAATAATTAGAAATGTTTCTTGTGCACCAAATCAGCATCTTTGAATGATTTCTGAAAGGATCATGTGACTCTGAAGACTGGAGTAATGATGCTGAAAATTCAGCTTTGTGTCACAGGAATAAATGACATTTTACTATATAATAAATACAAAACGGTTCCTTTAAATTGAAGTAAAATTCACAGTGTTACAGTTTTTGCTGTATTTTTATCAAATAAATGAAGCTTTGCTGAGCTTAAGAGACTTATTTTAAAAACATTAACAAATCTTGCTGACCCCAAAGTTTGGAACAGTAGTGTATGTATTTTAAGTAAATATGTGGCTAATAATAATTCAAATTTTGGCTGCGCGTCTTCAGAAGGCTTGAAATATAGTGCATAAGTGTAGAGTACTTTTATGTAGAGCAGCTCATGCATTCTGCCTACATCTCATTTTGCATTTCACAAAAGAAGTAATATGGGATCGGAACAATATGATGGTGAGTAAATGAAAATATTTTCGTATTTGAATAAACTACTTCTCTTGAGGAGCAAAGTGTTTCGATTCTGTCATTAGGCTGAAAATAACCCTGAACACCATTGTGTGGATTCTGTAGGTTCCTGCTGGCAGAAAGATAAAGATAGAGTTCAATATGTTCCGTGTGAAAGAGCCGGGGGTGGACACTAGCAGCTGTCACAAAGACTTCATAGAGGTGCTGGGTAAAAAGTAAGTTCTGTCATCTGTCCTGCCATGCCAGCCAGAAAGATATTCCCCATCATTTCTTGTCAGCTTCCTGATAGTCTATGAAATAAAATGGCAAAAGGCCCAATAAATAAATTTGATGTTAATTTATCTGAAAACCATCTGCAGTAGTCTGTTGCCAATTCATTTTTGGTTTTCTTAGTCTTTGTTGTATTAACAGTTCATTCCTTCCTCCATTTTTAAAGGTATTGTGGAGAGAGACGTAGACTTGTTCTCTCTAGTGCCACCAATATCTTGGAAGTGAAGTTCCATTCAGATGAATCCTACACTGATAAGGGTTTCAGGATCACTTACACCGCCTTTGACCCTGTAAACCGTACGTAAGCCGGTGTTTCAATATGACTAGCTAAATGCAGTGATGAAATTTTGATCCAGGACCATTTAAAACCAACAGATCACATTATTCTATCATTAGAACTCTCTTTTAACTTCTCCTTTGTGTTGAGTTCTGGCTGTCTTCCTGTTTTCACTCTCATGAATTTCATCTCCAGCTTGCCCTGGTCAGTTTGCGTGCACCTCAGGCTACTGCATCAAAAAAGAGCAACACTGTGATGGGTGGAACGACTGCGAAGACATGAGTGATGAGAAAAGCTGCCGTAAGTCTCATCCCTGTCAGGATTTTGCCAAATTTCATTTAAACCTTTAAATTGAATTAGCCCTGTCCAACGGGATACCGATGTAGAATGACAGGAAGATGAAATCAGAATTCTAATTCAAACACTATTCAGGGGTATATAAAATTCAGTCCAAATGAATAAAAACTACATCAATAATTATGTTAATATGTTGTTTTCTTAAAGGGGTCATATGATGCGATTTCAATTTTTCCTTTCTCTTTGGAGTGTTAGTATGTGGAAAATAATGTGTTTTTTTAACTTTAAACCGCATAAACACATTTCATTACACCAAATACACAAAATAATGTTCGTTTTAGCAGCATCATATGACCCCTTTAAACTGATTGGACAGATTCCTCCAATTTAAGTTAAAAAATGGCAGTTTTACTCATTGTTTTTAGATGCACAGGACATTATTTAAAGCATTAACACTAAAATGTTATAATTTTACATAATAGTATTATATTTATGTATGTATTATATTAAATATTATAGATTAAATATATTATTTGTCATTTTTGGTTTATAAAATGAATGGCATTATGTATTGAACATAATTTACACTATAGGTGGTATTTCAAACATCAGTTCTTTAGATCATCTAATGCTTCTGGAAATAGCTTATATGTTGTATGAAATCATGGTTATGTTTAATTCAAAATCAAGTGTAAGTTCTACTTCTTTAACTTTAGATTTGCATTATTATTTTGCATTCTCTTTGCTGCCTAACAAGTAACCAGTAAACCTAAATAAACTGAAATAACTTTTTGATGAGTTTTTACATTGTACTAATAATTGACAAAGTCAGGTGATGTTTTAGATCAATTTTATGTTGACACATTCAGTTGAATGTGTTTTGTGTTTCAGACTGTGATGACGAACAGTTCACTTGCAGTAATGGCCTGTGTAGGCCTCGGTACTTTGTGTGTGACAGAGTAAATGACTGTGGTGACAATAGTGATGAGGAACATTGTGGTGAGTTTCTCCTATTATGTTTTAATGATCGTATTTATTTATATCAGCATCTGCCTTTCAGGAAGTTAATTCAAATGAAACAAAATACATTTAAGGATACACTAAATACTGACAGACAAAGCAGTGGCAGGCGTTTTATCTCCATAAAGCGGGACTGCAATGAGGTCCCATGACTAGCTGTTTCCTGGGATTCATATAAACACTGACTTAAGATGAACTTATTTTGAACTATGACATTTTCCTGGAGAACTTCAACGTATTTAAGATTTGCTTCATTGTGGCATTCTTTAAAAAGCTACTTTGATTTTTGCCATTGAAGGACACTTGACGAGATTTTGTTTTGTTGTTCCTCTTAGATTGTGGCAGAGCTGAGGAAAGGTGCGGCGATGGCGCCTGCATCCCACAAGAATTTATATGCGATGGGAAAAATGACTGTGCTGACGCCAGTGATGAGGTCTCATGTGTAGCATGTGAGTGGATACTTTGACTTAGTGACCACAATCTGCTTTTTCATTGAGCTTAACACCAGTGGCCTGTAGCACGAAGCGAGATGAACAAACTCAGAGTTTCAGAGTAGGTTTAGAGTTGACAAAACCAAACAAATCCAACCTGGTTTAGATCAGGATCAGCGGGCTCACAAAGCTCGATATAAACGTTCTCTGTCAACTCAGAGTTTGGAGCGTGTGCACCTGAAAGTGTGACGTGTGCGGCAAACAGCCAGTCACAGGGAACGTGTGGAGAGCATCAGCAAAGCGTCATTTGGATTCACTTCTCACGAGAGTCAACACAGTTCACTTTTCTGTTGAAGATTAAGAGATGTCGTTATTAAAAATAAATTTTAATGCATTTACAAGGCAGGAATAAACACTTCTGCTGCAGCAAAAGTTTGAGAAGGCAGCAGAAAGGAATCATCTGAATTTAATTATTTATATATAGTTTCACACAGAGCTCAAAAGAAAAACATATAAGTTTAGTCATTTTAAAAGTTGGATATATTAAAGCTTATCTGTATGCATTTATATTTAATTTAAATGCAAGGCTTAATTAATTGCCACTTCATATGATAATTATATGAATATATTATATGAATTATAAACAATTATAATTAATATAAAATAATATAATATAATTAATATAATATAAATATAATAAATAAGTAGTCGCAAATTTGTAGCCGCAGGGTAGCTGTGTAGCGTAAGTTTCCATGGTGACGAATCCCGCTCAAAACCAACCCACCTTCTTGAGCCCGAAAACTCAATGAAGCAAAAAGTTTGCTCAAACTAAACATGAACTTACCTGGGTAAAAACTGAAACCAGCTTTGTGCTACAGGCCACTGAGGGTTAAGGGCAGTGCGTAATTTTTTTGTTTGCGTTTATATATACAGTACTGTGCAAAAGTCTTAGGCCATTAGCAGTGGCGTAACTACAGACAGTGCAGCCAGTGCAGCCAC